AAGCTACTAGTAGCTCCTGGGAGCAAGAAGCTACTCGTAGCTCCTGGTCTTACTACTAGGACCAAGAAGCTACTAGTAGCTCCTGGCCTTACTACTATGAGCAAGAAGCTACTAGTAGCTCTTGGCCTTACTAGGAGCAAGAAGCTACTGGTAGCTCCTGGCCTTAGCACTAGGAGCAAGAAGCTACTAGTACCTCCTGGCCATACTACCAGGAGCAAGAAGCTACTAGTAGCTCCTGGCCTTACTACTAGGAGCAAGTACTAGGAGCAAGAAGCTACTAGGCCTTAGCACTAGGAGCAAGAAGCTGCTGGTACTACTAGTAGCTCCTGGTGTTACTACTAGGAGCAAGAAGCTACTAGTAGCTCCTGGCCATGCTACAAGGAGCAAGAAGCCACTAGTAGCTCCTGGCCTTACTACCAGGAGCAAGAAGCTACTAGTAGCTCCTGGTGTTACTACTAGGAGCAAGAAGCTACTAGTACCACCTGGCCTTACTACCAGGAGCAAGAAGCTACTAGTAGCTCTTGGTGTTACTACTAGGAGCAAGAAGCTCTAGTAGCTCCTGGCCATACTACCAGGAGCAAGAAGCTACTAGTAGCTCCTGGTGTTACTACTAGGAGCAAGAAGCTACTAGTAGCTGAGCAAGAAGCTACTAGTAGCTCCTGGCCTTACTACCAGGAGCAAGAAGCTACTAGTAGCTCCTGGTGTTACTACTAGGAGCAAGAAGCTACTAGTAGCCCCTGGCCTTACTACTAGGAGCAAGAAACTACTAGTAGCTCCTGGCCCTACTACCAGGAGCAAGAAGCTAGGTGTTACTACCAGGAGCAAGAAGCTACTAGTAGCTCCTGGCCTTACTACTAGGAGCAAGAAGCTACTAGTAGCTCCTGGCCTTACTACCAGGAGCAAGAAACTACTAGTAGCTCCTGGTGTTACTACTAGGAGCAAGAAGCTACTCGTAGCTCCTGGCCTTACTACTAGGACCAAGAAGCTACTAGTAGCTCCTGGCCGTACTACCAAGAGCAAGAAGCTACTAGTAGCTCCTGGTGGTACTACTAGGGGCAATCAGCTACTAGTAGCTCCTGGCCTTACTACTAGGAGCAAGAAGCTACTAGTAGCTCCTGGCCTTACTACCGGGAGCAAGAAGCTACTAGTAGCTCCTGGTGTTACTACTAGGAGCAAGAAGCTACTAGTAGCTCCTGGCATTGCTCCCAGCAACAAGAAACAACAATTAGTATAGCCGTTCTTAAAAAAAAGATGTTCCACAGGTCCGTCTCAGAGAGATGCGAGCTCGTATGGCCGAAGAGAGGAAGACTCGACTTGAGCAAATCCAGGCCGAGCTGGACTCTGAAGTGGCAATAACAAATTGATTGTGTTTTTTTTGCTTCTGTAAAGAACCCAAAGTCAACCCTTGCTTGCCCTTTCCACGGTCATACTTCCAGGCAATTTTTGCTGGACTGGGTGCTGGCGCGCAGTCAGTATTGGAGGCAGAAAAGAACTGCTAAAAAGATAACCCTTAAGAATTAATTTGTCATGGCAGATGGCAGGATAGATCGAAGATGACTGTTTTAGTTGCCGGCCTAACGGCACTGGCTGTTGGCGTGCCTGAACCTTAGATTCTTGGTGCTTCTGTTTCCCCATGTGCTCTTTGATCCGTAAGGTATGGTGCTCGTGCAGCTACTCAGGTAGCTGGCAATATCATCGAAAGGCCGGAACTCATCATAGGCTTTTCTCTCAGCAGCAGCGTTGTGTGTTGCTAGCTGTCTAAATGCTCCACTTGTTATTAGTGAACTCTTGTGTCTCGTGTGGCTCAAGCACTATTGCGGGATCTAGCTAGCTATGGAAGCTCCGATTTCATGCTCAGCCAAAGCAGCCGCAGTGTGCGGCCATGTGGTTTGGGGCTTGGCAGTTCCAAGAAAGTCTTGTTAACCGTAAGCAGGTTTTGTGATTCTTTGTTTCGGATCTAGCCGCTTCCTGGCTCTGCGTGCAATACTACTAGGTTTTTACTACAGCTTCTTAGACTTGTTCGATCTTTTTAGTGTTGAATCTTGCTAAGGCAAGAACACAAACGGGGTCAGCCAGCAGCACTGGTAGTCTTCGTAGCAGTTCCAGGCCTTCCAACCATGAACTCCCTTCCTCACGGCCGAATTTTGTGATCAAACAATTAGACTACCTTTGCCAGGCCTTCCAAACTTGGGCGTGCATCAGCTGCCGGGGTATTGGCAGGTGGGCAGGATTCAATCGCCATTTTTGCTTGTTCTTGTTGCTATTTCAGCATCGCAATTGCAAAGTCTTCTATAATATAAGGTACTAGTACCTTCAGCTTCCGTTGAAGTTGTTATGGTTGATGCTGCGATTGCACTTCTGCAGGCTTTGCGCTTGGCTGGAAGGGAAAGGCAGTTTTGTAGTGTACGCTATGTTGACCCCATTATATATAGTTGCAACGATTAAAAGACCTTCAATGACTCAGTCTCGCAGGCGCGCCGGCGACACCGCTTCACTCTCCAGGCACAAAAAGGCCTGCCGATGTTTTTTGACCTTTGACCCGCGTGAGATCGTCATGACTGCGCTGCCTCAGGAGATTCGATCCTGGTGCTTGGAGGTGGTATTGGAGGTGCGTTTATTGTTATATATTATTTTTATGAACAAGAAGCTACTAGAAACAAGTGCCACGCTAGTAGTAACAAGTGCCTTACTAGTAGTAACAAGAAGCTAGTAGTATTTTTTAGCCTGGGGGGGGGGGTAGGCCACTAGGAGGGAGAGGTAGCTGCGATATACTAGCTGCAAGTAGCAGCTACTACCTAAGACGCAGGATAGCTCACGCTTCTTCAAGGAAGCTTCCTTGAAGAAGCGCTCGCACTAATGATTTGGATCCTAGATATTTACGGAAAATTAAGGTTCCTAGATGATACCTAGAGCTTGGAAGAGCATTGCTCTCACACTGCGCAGCTTGGCTTAGTAACTTAAATAGCTCTTTAGGCTTGGATGCAGGAAAGCTAAGGCTTCCTTGAAGACGAAGCCATCGACCTATTCATTTGGCTACTATTTTTTTTGGGGGGAAAGCAGACTGGCAGCTGGACAAGGTTTGAAGAACAAACTGGAAGCTCTAAAGCACTGGCCCCGATTAACCAATGTCATATGGAGGCCTGACACTGGCAATGCGCCTCGCACAAATGCCTTGGCGGACCAAGCCACAGGCAGGAAAGCTACCGGCTACACTGTGAGGCTGCAATGTCATGACTGCGAACCCAGGTCAAGCTCATCGACCCCAAAGAAAGATATGTCTTCCTGCTGAAAGCTTATTGAATCATGATGAATGATGTGTGAGTTGTTGACCTGGACTCTTTTTGTTGCTACCTCTCCCAAGTGGCATGCCGTGTTGTAGCCCGAGGCCATTGCTGATTGACTACGCAACAGGTGTTGTGGAACTCGATGAGCTTGCGCTGGGCTTGACCAACTTGAAAGCCATGGTTCTTTGGTTGACAAAACTCAGGATGACAAGCAACTTTGCAAAGCCAATGTTGGTCCGGTAAATGAGTGCTTTTGTCCTAGGCTCATTAGGCTTCCCCAATTTGCAATCACGGATTTCGTTTGTTGAGGCGCCGCTGTTCGACGAGCTCCTGCAAGAAGCCCCTGGTGTCCAGCACATTCAAGGTGTTGCTATGCTCTTAGCCTGAGTGTGCAGCTGGCTACAGGAACCATTTGCGCATTTCCATACTACACGGGTTTGTTTGATGCAAACCAAATGCTGACATCGAAACTGCAGGCAAGCGAAGTGGATTGGAGAAGACGCGAGGTACGATCTATCTTGTTTTCGTGCGGTCTTTGCAACATGAGCGACGAAGGTTGGACTTTGCACTGACGAGGCCCCTTTCCGATAGTGTATTTGTCGACCGGAGAATCAACATGAACTCTGGTCTCTGCAGGCTAAGCTCGACTTTGATGCTGTAGTTCTAGCATCCGGCAGCCTGCGTGGGAAGCTCACGGGGCCAAACCACTGCAATTCTTGGATTCTTGGACGCTTTGTGGGCCTTCGCTGCAAGTCGCAGATGTCTCGTCTAGGTCTACTATTGTACATCATCGTTCATCAAGATGTGAGCATGTTGAAAGCATTTGTCCTGAAAGGTATGAAACCAGGCGAGGAACTACCAGGGCTCTCAAGAGCATTGTCAGATGGGAAGGCTGGAAGATGTTGGTATGCTGACTGAACAATCAGGTATTATGGAGTCTTTGCCAGCTGTGCTGTTCGAAACAGGCACTGTGCTTCCGCTCCTTGAGCGATGCTGCCCGCTTAGCCTGTCACATACTTCAGGATGCTTTTTTACGATAGATGATACTCCAGAAATCTCTAGAATATTGCAGAGAAGACACATGCATGAACTTTCAAAGCTTCGCGTAAGGCAGACGCGCTACGTGCTCGACTTCCGTTTGTCTCTTCTGTTGCCATAATCGGTCTGCAGCTCTGCCTTTCGTAGTGACAAATTCCGCTATGCAGCCCTGCAGCTTTCATGTTGCGCCAATCCGTAGATGAAGGTGCTGGCTACGTCGGTGTTGAGCTTGCAGCAGGATTGGCGGAGGCTAGACTGACCTTTTCTTCAAATTCTTTTTTCGGAACCATGGGGCCCGAGCCCTCGGCATCCTAGCTCAGTCCTTGTAGCAGGTGCTTCCAGATGTTGCTGCTGCTGGGCAGATCAGTCTTTTTGGATCTCGCTTCCTGCCAGGCTTCAAACCTACCGTGCAAGCAGTGCAAACAGTGAGCATCCAAGCATGTCGCAGGTTGTGAGGAGGCTAATCAAGCACGTAGTGCCGAGCTACTAGAGAAGCAGGGGATCATTCGCAAGACAGGCGACAACCTTAGATCTGATGCAGCCATTGAGAGCATTCTTGGTTATCTTGCGCTACGGTCCCGTGCTTGTTAGCTTTCCAGCATTAGACGTCAGACTTGCCAGTACGCATCCGCTGCTACATGTAATTCACCAAGGCCGCGTGATCTCTATTGATGTTCCTTGGATCGTTTGTAACGAAGGTTCATGATTGTTGTCAACTGTTGCATTGTGCTGGGTGACGCCTTTCCATTAACAACCTATGGCAATCACATGTTGGTAGCTAAGGATGATGGGCTGACCTGGTCCAGTCTGTCTGGAGACTCCAGGCAAGCCTTACTCAAAGGTTTTCCCTGTGCCAAGTCGTCTCTCTGTTCCAGCCAGTGTTTTTTGTGGTGCAGCGTGGTTTTGCGGGGAGAGTGAGTCTCCACTTGTCCACATTTCCAGGGAGCATCATGCTTGTGATCTCGTCTGAAACCTGTAAAGACATTGTTGCCCAGCAAACTTCTTGGCTCCCTCGAGTGTTTGAGGTTATCGTCACTGGGGCATTGGCTCCTCCAGAGTACAAAGACATGCGACAGACTGAAGTACAAAGCTATTGGCAGCCAAATCATTTGTCATCCCGATCATGTTGAGTGGCTGGTTTGGTGAATGAGGCTTCAGCTAAAAGCTCCGCTGGAGGACAGCTGTTGCAAGGCAACTTCAACGTTCCTCAATTCCGTTGAGTGTTCTCTTGCATTTTGAAACACCAGACAAGTGGAACCCCGAGGACTCTGTAGACCAAGGGCGTGCTGTTCAGTCCTTACTTTTTTGTGCCATGCAAGCGAGAAGCTTCAGCAGTTTGGTTAACAGTTGACAAAAAGCAAGGCCGTTGACGAATACTTGCGAGTTGCTCCTGGAGTCTTTTGTGCCTTAGCTAGCCTGGTCAGAAGTAGTTGGAGCTGTCGACATGCCAAATTTACTGTCAGGCCTCGGTGATGCATCTGCAGGAACGCCAGCTACGGGACAGATTGCAAGACCCTGAGATTTGCGCAAGAGCTGTACAGTTCAGTTTCCCCCCAAAATCTAGGAACCAATTGAATAGTGCGGGCGCTTCTTCAAGGAAGCTCCCTGCGCCGCCCTGGAGCGGGCTAAAAAAAGGTTTGTTGGGCTACACTGGATTCTTTCAGTGACGACTCGATTTCCACTCCACTGGGGCTGAGGCGATGCAACAGGCTGAAGTTGCTGCCTGGAACATATATGCGCAGCTTTCTTGCTTGTGTGGTCCTGAGTTTCGTCTCATTCCTATGGCCTTTCTCATATATTCTCCACAAAGAGATCTACAGCTGGGCAGTGGTAGCAATAGCTAGACAAAAGAAACGCATCACTCGGTGTTTTGGGCCCCTTTAATATGACCGAAAGGCCCAACACGCACTCTCTCTTCTATTTTTTTGGTAAAAGTGGGAAACAAACTGCAAAAGTCGCCAGGCCACGTGTGGCATGGCGACGCTTCAAGCCATCAGCCTTGGGAGAATTCATTGCTTTAGGGAGCACTGAAGCTGCAAGGGACTTGGTGTCGACTCATCTCAGAGTCGAAGTCAACAACAGAGTCTGAGAAAAGTTTTCTTCATTCGACCTCAATGACCTTTAGTTATAGTTTAAAGGCATTTCCTTTGCAATTGTTCTTTCTTCCCATACTTTTGCAGATATGAAAGCTCTGCAGTGACTGCCCTCAAGGCTGGCGTCGTGGAAGCAAGTCAAATGGCAAATCTTTTGCCGCCGGCTTTGCCCCCTGTTGGGATCTCTGCAGCAAATCTTCAGAGTTGAGACATTGACAGACCATTTAGCCCAGGGCATTGCTCGCCTGGCTTCTTCTGCTACGGCTGCTGCCCAGAGCCAAGAAGACAGATGAAGTTGGTGATGTCTACTGTATGCCTGGACGTTTGAATTAGCTAGGTTGGAGGCCATCGCTAGTAGGTTGGAGGCCCTTGCTATTAGGTTTAGTGGTTTATATAGTTCTATATATTTTTGATCGGCCTCTAAAGTTTGCACTGATGGCCTCGCTGGGACAAACATAGCATCCTCGCTGCGCAGGCTAGTGAGATTCAGGGCTCAACAAAAGTGGACATTGGTGGAAAGAGTGGGGCTTAGCATTGTAAAGTATATTTTGTCAGAATTCCGAAGGGAAAATTTTGGGGCTGCGAGGCCTGCTAGTCTTTTGCGACGGCTGGCATATTTGTACCGCAGCTCGACATTAATTATATAGTCAGAAGGAAAAAGAACGAATACTGGCGTGTTTCTTGACAGGACTTTCTTTCCATTGATGTTTTGGTTGATCAGATACGAGCTGAGGTTTGCCAGGTTTGCGACACCGCCTTCAAGTTGCAGAGAATTGGCTGCGACGTTCCTCCCGGGCTAGCGGAGACATCTCCGCCAATGTGTTGCCCGGTCTGTGAGCAGAAAAAAGAGGAGTAGTAGGGAGGTCAGTGAGAACATTTTCTGTGTACAGGGGGAGCTTTGTAATCTCCCAGTTTAGCTGAGTCTCAAGTAGTTTCACAATTGCTTCAATTTTTCCAGTGCATCCTGAATCAGGGATGTGCTGCCTGTGTGTTATTTCGCCCGTGACAGACGGATAGATTGATTTTCAGTGCACCATAATCGAGTGCTTGGGGCCAGAGAAGAGCCTTTGCGGACAGAGGCAGAGACTTTAATCCAGGCAGCGTTACAAAAAGCAGATTCAGACGCCCTGCAAAGCTTTGTGACTCAAATTCAGCCGCAATGTCAAAGCTTCAACTAGTAGCAAGAAGCTACAAGGGCATCGCTACTTGTAACAAGGGCATCGCTACTAGTAGCAAAAAGCTACTGTACTATGTTTCAACTCTAAAAGCAACCGACATGCAGGCGCCTAATGCGGCCACCTTTGGTTCGGGAGACCTCCGCTTGGACTTTCGGTGCGATGCTGAGGAAGGAAGTCAACTTGGTTACTGTAGATGTGTCGCAAGCAGCCAGCCTTGAAGAAAGCAACATATTTACCATCGACATGCAAGGGTGATGATAAAGGTCTTGATCGAAAAGGAAGAACTGCACGGTAGGACGGGTGCCTTCTATTGCTTCCTTGACAGTTATTTGAAGTGCCCTGACACAGGCCGGGATCGCTTGCGCCTCTCCGGTCTGGTGCCATTTGGGCAGCAGAAGAAGGAAGTCATGGAAAAGATTGTCCTTGAGGACCTCCTAAGGTTAAGGATTTATGGCATGTTATCGTAGCAAATCACATCGAGGTGTGTCTGACTCCAGGAAGACTTGTCAGAGCGCCTCAATTGGACTACCAACTCCCTAGTCAATGCCAAGAAGAACGGGACACCCTTCAGGTGCAGTTCAGCATTTTTAACACTTCGGGCATGAAGGCTCAGATTCTCAGGCATCTCCTGCTACATGGCCCACCCGGTACGGGCAAGACACTTTTTGCCCGAACACTGGCAAGACAGTCAGGATCGAACCTGAGACTCCATGACTTTGCAGCTTGAATCCGCCATCGCACGGAGATTGTTACGAAAAATATCAAAAACAACACATGTAGAGCGTCTTCATTCTGAGGTTTAGACTATGCAATCATGTCCGGCGGAGATGTGGGACCTCTTGGGAAAGATGCGGCGAGCCTGACTGGTATTGCATTCACAATGAGACAGTATCATCAGGGCTGGCTAGCCTCAGAAGAAGAAGAAGACGAAGAAGAAGAAGAAGGAGAAGAAGAAGCCGCAGAAGCAGAAGTGCGCAAGCCCCTTGTGAGTAAACCTTCTTCAGCTGTGATCTACTCAAGACGTTGCTGAAGCACCATGCACGCAGAAAGCATTTCCCTAGCACATTCAAGGCACAGCTATATGTAACTTTCACCCATGTTTTTTCCTGCTTTCTGTTTTAGCACACACTCTTGATTGATCAGCGGAAAGTTTCAGAAGACCATATTACATTCAGTCACGGGATTTGATTGGGTTATATACATACATATACATATATAAACTCTCTTGAAAGCAGCTCTCGAACTTTTTGTCATGCCTGGCACCATCCATGATCCGGTTGGCGGGCAATCCAGAGCGACTATTGCTGCCAAGCAAGCAAAACCGCCACTTGCCCAAACCTCTAAGGCTTCTAAGTTCTGCAATGACCACTCCAGTCTTCAGCATAACGTATTTGGGATAGTTTGAGTCTGCACCCTTGGTTCCTTTAGCCTGTAAAGGGGAGAGGGGGCCAAGGGATCTATTTCAGCCTATAATTACATCATGGAATAATTTTCTGTCCCCATTCGGTTCCTGGCTCCGAGTGACAATGTGAAGCTTCATACTACATCGGTTCTACGGTTCTACCCAATCAAACGGCTCTTCAAACCCAATTGAACTCTTATTATGTTTTCACCATTCTATCAAGATCTATGTCTATAAATGTAGTGTTTTTTTTTTTGCCATTGCTTCCAAACCCATCGAGACACCCACAATTCGTCTATGGCTGTCTAATGTTGTCCGGCTATCAATCTGTGCGGCAATCGATTTTGTTGCCTCATCTAGCGATGTCAATGCAAAGCTTACAAAGCTTGTGGAGCTAGGCCTGCCAGGGCTATCCAGCTGCGACAAGCCAGTGGGACTACTGTACTTAAAGTTCGGAATCCCTAAAACCGTCAGACCTTCAACATGGAGTCCATTGTAGCTTTTGTGAACAATATGACTTCTTGAATTGGACAGTTCCTTTGACGTGCGGAGTTGGATACTCGCACAACACTCAAGGCAGAGTAGTCCCTGCAGAAATGGAGAGAGCCGCTATATTATAGCAACAGCGGAAGTTACCCCAACCAGTTGCAGGAAACCAGTTGACCTCTATGTAGAGCTTTGTGTGCCATTGGCAGAGGGCATTCCAAAAACCAGTGCCCAGCAGGGCCTTTCGCCTTGGATTGAGCAAACAACATGTGATGGCATACCCACCATGTAGGAAGGTCCTTCAACATTAGGCGTCCAGGCAAAGATGTCAGTGTGAGTAGTTTGACCTGCTGCAGCTGGAGGCTGGAGGATTTTGCCGAACGAACGAAGAAAGAGGCCGAGGAGCGCAGGAAAACTCGTGATGCTGAGGGAGGCCGAGGCGGAGGTGCCTCGCTCAGAACCTGACCTGGCAGGTGTCAGCATGTCAAGTTGAAATAGGCATAGGTCGACGTTGATAAATATCCATGTATAGTATATACTACTTAATTTACTTAATATACTATGTATGTATATATATAACACATAAAATATGTATGTAGATGTAATACAAAATGCTACATAATACATAATACTGATGAACCCCGGTGCCTTCGATGGTTTGCATAGCAGAGCATTTCATGAAGAGGGCATGTTGTGACTTGTGTCGTTCATAGCAGCCCTTTTTGGCACAAGACCCCAATCCAGCGAGAAAATAGACGGCCGTGCTATCAGTGACGCTTAGCGGAGGTGCTGCTTTTTTCTGTGAGCGTTGGTTGGGCCTGGTGCAGTGAACACTAGGTTATGAGTTTAAACGGGCCTAGTGCGCAAAGCGAGTAGTGGGCATACCAGGGCCAAATAGAGATGCATTTGGCCCAGAAACGACTGGAAAAGGAAGCTGAGCAAAGAGGTGATGAAAGATGGTTCGAAAAGACCAGAGAAAGCAGGGGAAAAGCTCAGCCAAACTCCTGGTTCGACCAACAGAGGGCAGCCGGCCCAAGGTAGGCAGTGCCTCGACTCCAGCCAAGACTCCTGAAGTTCGAGGACCGAAAGCACCTGGGCATGAAGAAGCTGTCAAAGGAAAGGGAAGTGCGGTGAGGACAAAAGAAACAGAAGATCATGTGGCTATGGGGGTGGGTGGTTGAAAGCTTTGACAGCCACTGTTCAATAGAGAACAGTTGCAAAGACTGCACGAGATGTACCAGCAAGCTCCTTGGCTACACACTCGTTTTCAGACGCCCGATCCGTCGCTTCTCGAGAGACCTGGCATCTTAGAAGAAGATGAAGGCGAGGCCGAAGAACGGGAAGAAGAAAGGGTGAGATGGGAAGTTTTGGAAGAACACAAACAAATGAAGTTTTTCGACAGCTGCAATACTTGATGGTTGAAAACCAGCGGTTGGAGGAAGACCCTAACGGGGCTTCAATGTTGAAGCTACCAAACCGAAAGTTGGAAAGGAGGCAGTGCTTCATCGCCAACAGCTTCGTATGTTGATGGATGAAAACCGGAAGTTGAAAAGGGATGTTCACCGCCTGACCAACCAGGTTGAGCGACAAGAAGAGGAATTTGTTTTCGCCACTCCAAGCGGCAGCTATGATTAAGATGATGATTGTGGCCCAGAAGAGGGGAAAGGCGAAGCAGAAAGAGAAAAAGGGATTCCCGATCCAACCACAACAGGAAAAGGGAGAGGAACTTCGAGAAAGAAAGCTGAGCAGAAAGGGGAAGAAGATGCTCACCAGCAAACACTCACAGTGATTTTGAAGTTGGTGGAAGGAATGCAAAAGATTTAAGAAAAGATGGTAAAAGGCGGTCGTGAAGCCAATGACGTCGGCCCTGAAACCGTTCGATCGAGTGTCGAGCTTCCAAAGATGGCTGAGTGGCCTGTGAGCCAGGACTAACTGATTTTGCTGATTGGTTGCTGGTGCTTACACCCTGACGAGTGACCTATCTGCATCGTCGGAGGGGTGGTGGAGCAGTGGGCCATGAATTGATGAAGCCCGTGAATGGCGCCGTCCACATGTTGAAGACTCCACCTGAACGCCTATCGCGCAAGCAGCAAGCTTCAACAAAAGAAGTGGCGGAGGCTCGAGCATCGTGCCGCAGCATTGCTCCTTGGTGCAGTAGCAGAAGCTCTTCGCGAAGAAACCGAGACCAGCAAAAGTTTGAGCGCTTTTGGGATCCTCGCCAAGGGCATGGTGGCATATCAGCCAGGTGGGCTGGCAGAAAGGCAAGCGATCCTGGCGGCATTTGAATCACCGTCTAGTGCTCGACAATCCAAAGGGCTGTGCTGGTCCTTCGGGGGTGGATTCGATGGAAGCATCGCGCTGAAGAATGTGGGGTTTCAATACCAGATCCCACTATCTTGGCGAGAGGCTTGAGCAGGATCACCAAGAAGTTGAGCAGGACCCATCCGGAGCTGCGCTTTCAACTTTCAACTGCAATTGGTCAGGTGGATTCCTTTACAACTCATGACTCCATTGCAAAGTACAGTGAGCATGTCCTGGCAGGCTTGCTTGCTTGCTTGCTTGCGTGCTTGCTTGCTTGCTTGAATCCCCCGCAAACTGGCCACCTATTCATGAACCTTACCTGACGGACTTTTCAACTTACACGCTGGGGGACAGTACTTCGGGGCTTTTGAAAGTGGGCTAGTCCTGTGCGAAAGGGCATTCTTGAAAAGGTAAACCCCCGGCCCAAGAAAGACAGTTGAAGAAAGAAGGTTAGGGGTTTGTGGGTGTGGTAGAAAGGGTATCCCTGGAGAGGAAGGGATGCGATTGCCCAGCATGCTGCTTTCAAAGAATAATGATGGGTGACAGCCACTCCGCTAAGTTGATGAGTGGATGATACGCGGGAAGCTCGACTCCGCTCCATAAATTAACTGTCGACGTTCATGGGAGAATGCAGAAATTCCCCAGTAGATTCATTCGTGTCTCAACGTTCAGTGTTCTTGCGTGTCTCGTGAGTTCCGCCGCCTTCAAACCCAGCTGACAGCTGACCTCCCTTCGCGATAAGAATGCTGACGCTTGATTGATGACGGTTTCGCCAAATGTCTCGGTTCTTTGGCAGAAGTTGTTGTATGGTTGGCAAGGCGCCTGTGACAAAGTGCCTTGAGTTGTGACAGATGTGTGAGCGCACTGTGTGCCACAAGTCCTCTCGATAGGACACCACATTGGTCTGCCCCACTCCGCGCAAATTCACACGCCGTCAGCTTGCACTTAGTGCGCCAGCAGTTTGAGTTTGACTTGTGTAAATGAAGCAACAAGAATTGAAGAGGAATCGTGAAGCAAAGGCCTTGTTGATGTTTCACAAGTGGATGAGCAGTGTGCGTCATAGAGTCATACGCGTTGCAATTCAATCTCAAGTGTGTTGGGGGGGCCACCAACGTGAGATGTATGAGTGCACTGTGCCACAAGTCGTCTTCATAGGATACCACACCGGTGTGCCCCACTGCAAAAGATCACGCCGTCAGCTTGCCCTCAGTGTGTCACCGTATGTACTGTGTACAGTATAGAGTATTGCATAGTATTGCATGCAGTTCTTATCATACCGATACTGAGAGACTGAGATTCCGCATGGTTTCCATGCTAGTGCTGGGCGAGTGTGAGTGGAAGGCATTTCCATCCAGTTCCATGTTAGTCTTGGTTGCAATGTTTTTTAGTTTCCCTAACATGGAAGGTGGCTACGCGTGCTTGCAGTTCCATGTATATAGGCCTAGTTTTAGTTCTCAACTTCCCTGTGCAAGTGCAGGGGTGTAATGTTCAAATTCGGAACTATGGAATCTACGTGCGAGACCTGAGCAGATCTAAGGCTTCAATGACCGGCAGCAGATTGAGAGGCGTGTTTCGGTTGAAGATGACGTTGGCTATGACGAGTTTGGTCGAAGAAAAACCAAAGCCGGTGCAGCTGCAGCTGGATCAAAAGCAGAAAGAGCAGCCGCGGCACTTGAGCGGTTGAAACAAAAGCGAAAAGTCGAGACCAGCGAGGGAAGTGTTCGATCACGAAGTCGGAGTGCAAGCCCAGGCCGTAGGGCTCGTGTTCCCAAACCACCTCATGCTGGATTCCGTCCTCGTGGAGCAAATCATCGCTTCTGAAGGCCAAAGCCAGGTGCACAGAAGTTGAACCATGTTGAACTTGATGGGAAAGCAGCGAAAACAGAGATGGCAGGGGGACATGTGGCAAGTCAGTCGGAACCCCTGCGTGGCAAGTCTTGAAGCCATGCTGAGCTCGCTGGTCTTGTCCGCTATGGAAGATGTTTGCTCACGATTGCTCACTGTTCCTTGGTGATCTCAAAGTGCATTGGAACCTGCTCGGAGATCTCCTGACTCAGCTTGGACATGATGGCAAATATTGGTGAGTTTGCATAGTGCATTTCATGTGGAAAAGAGCTTTGGCCTTCCCTTTGCATTGCATTCTGAGTGGACTTTGAACTAGGTCAATAGAGTTTGGCAGTTTGGCCAGGTTCACGAGCTTAACAAGCTCTTTCAGTGGGCTAACAACTCCCGGTTCGAGGCTCAGACATTTGTTGAGGGTGTGTCAGTTTGTTTGCAGAGCTTTGCAACCCAGCTGCTTGAACACAATTGTTCCGCCAAGGAAAGGCTTGATTCTTTTCATTGACGAGGCTCGAATCCCAAGAAGCCAAACCTAAACTACTTTAACTAGGCAAGCACATTGTTCTTGGACTTCAATCCTGTCCAAACCATCGCAGTCCCAAGGCCGATGCCTTTTTGCGGACTGGCCGTGGGTCAGACACTTCTGCCATGAGTGAAGAGGCCTTCACGTGAAGAGTGGAGTCCTTTGATGCGTGGAATCTGTTCAGAAGTTCAGCCTCAAGCGAAGGCCAGAAATACCTTGTCGGCCTTCCTGCATCACACGGGCACGGAGAGTGACAAGTCAAACTGGCCAGTTGGAAGTTTGTATTATGAGGATGCAACAGCTTCTATTGTGTTGTTTAGATATCTTTGGAAGTCTTTTTCCTGATTATATAGTCTTAGCAGGTTTGTGGTTGTGCTGGCGACCAACATCAGAGAGATTCTCGACAAAGCCGTGCTTGATCGCATCGTGCGCGCCTTGATAGGTTTTTTACTCGAGTTCACTTTCAATCTCCGCCTCGATTTGGGTTTTCCTTTGGCAATGCTCAATTTCTCTCGTAGGTAAAGGCGCTCGCATTTGACCCTGACCAAGGATGAAAGCTTTGAGTTTCCACTGCCCAGCTTGAAGGCACGGAGTAAAATGCATCAATGAGATGGCCTAATCCTGGATTTTGACTCTAGGAGCGCCAACGGATGCTCTCCATGTTCATGGAGGATGGTATTGTTTTCTGTGCTTTTTTTTGTTTTCTGAAGACATTTATTTTTTCATTTTTACATCAGCGAACCCTCAGGAACACATCCACAAGCCCACCAAGAGGGGCAAGGTGATTCAGGCCGGAAGGATCTGAAGGATCCGAAGGGTTGGAACAGCTGAATGATGCGTTTCGCTTCTTTTTCCTATGTATAATACATAGTAGCCTCTTGCTCCTAGCAGAAGGCCAGGAGCTACTAGTAGCTTCTTGTTACTATATAGTAGCTTCTAGCTACTAGTAGCGATGCCCTTCTTCCTAGTAGCGATGCACCCTGCTACTAGTAGCTTCTTGTTACTGGGAATGTAGTGTTTTGGTGTTCACAATCAGAACACATTGGTGTTCACATGTGTTCACTCACTTGTGGAGGCAGCTCCAATGTGTAGAAGTCTCAAGATCAGCTACACATTCTTCCACAATCGCAGGTAGATGATGTGTTGAAAGATGATGCCTGGTTGGAACAGGCTGGGGTCTTGGGTGAGTAGCATGCCTTTGTGCTCTTGTGACACTTGGGTGTTGTTGTGTCTGCTTTCCTTGCGCACTTGCCTCTCAACGTCCTTTAGTGTGCCTGTTCTGGCTCAAGTAAATGCGGTATCGGCGCAACTACAATCATGGCAGCGATCCAAGGAGTGTGTAGTTTTCACGCGCATCCTGAATGTGCAACACACAGCAGCAGCCTTCTCAGGCGCTTGACATGGACAATCCGCACTTGGACCCAGTTGAGACATTTTCGTTGGAGGCTAAGAAGGCTTACCCTGAAGCAGGACATAGTCGTGGAACCTCTTATTGCTGTGCAGGTACTTGCGGCTGGTCAGCGCGGATGGCCACGAGTTCTTTCTGGACAATGCCATGTTTTGTTAGCAAAGCAGAACGTGTGTGACTTTGCCCAAGCTAGTCAACAAGATGTAGATTTCATGACCTCATCAAGGACAGACGCATAGCATATGAGTGTGACACGTTCAAGAAGATGGTCGAGAAGGCCACTCGGATGTGTTTGTATCGAGAAGGCCACTCTGTTTTGTCTTTCTCACCCATCGCACAGGACGGTTTCAAAGAAGGACAGACCAATGAGATCCAGCTTCCGACCATCACTGGCAAGCTACTGGAGAAGGCCTGTTGAGTGAATGATGCAAAACAAGTCACCGGGGTTGCTTGACTTTCTTGAGAAAACCTGCAGAGGTCATCGAGTATTTGTATTTCAAGTACAAGTATACAGACGCCAAGGCTTGCGAGATTGCTGCAACTCTCCATCCTTCTCTGAACAGTGCTTGCAGGTGCCTATTCCAGAGTTTCCGATTGATGACGATGTTGTCCTGGCATCCTGGCTATGAAACACACAACGGCACAACTGAACGATTGAAATCGAAAGACGATTGCCCAAGGACCTGCTTCTTGTTGCCAACTATCTCAACCTATACTGAGGGGTGCGGCCATCCTAGATAGCAGAGAGATGATTTAGCGCTCGCTTTGCTGAGCAAAAACCATTCATCAATGCAAACCTTGCAAGAGATGGATTCATTGGATGTAGCCTTACAAGCTTGTCTCACCAATGCCATGCATCGCCACAGTCTTGGACTGTGCCCTTGTGAAAGAAGGGCTTGACGAATTCTGCAGCGGAAAACAACAAAGTAGAGCGGCGGTTCTTTGAGCCAAACTGGCTAATGCAACCTACTAGCAATGGCCTCCAACCTAGCAATGGTAATGCCACAGAAACATGGTTTGTTTACCGTTTAGGTGGCGAAGCAGACCGAAGGATTTTCTGGTCGTCAGCTTGCCAAGCTGGTGCTTGCTTACCAGGCAAGTGGGTTTCTGTTGTATTCTTGACATCTCGAAACCCTGCCTTGTTTAGGCCGCTGTCTTCGGCTCTGGTACTACAAGGCAGGACATATTTTGAGTTTTTATCAAGCTAAAGCCACCCTAGCACTAGCATGACCCTGCATGCCCCCGTCTTTGGATGATGATGATGATGATGATGATGATGATGATGATGATGATATGGCGTGGTGCGCAGTGACACCAGCTGGCAGGCTAACTACAGGATTGGCCGACATGGTCTTGCAGTACAAGCTAGCCCATCGAGAGGAGATTCGGGCCGTGAATTGCATCATATGAGGGACATGATGGAGACATTCATGCCTGGGAAGTTGGAGTGTTGGAGTGTTGCAGCCAAGTGGCCCAGAAAAGCACCAAGGCACAAGAAATGCACAAGAAGCTACTTGAACAGCGTATATACTTTGGTAATGTGTGGCAGTCACCGGCATGCCAAGAGTGACAACAAGTTCTTCGAAGTTGACAAAAAAGCAATGGACCATCCCTACAACACCATCATGTCACACATTACGTAGGACAAACACAACCGCCCGTCCTGTTCACTTAAAAGTAGGACCGTAGGATTTTAGCAACTACCTGGATGGTGCACTTCCTGATGTGAGAAGAGAGAGAGAGAGATAGAGCCTAGCTTTAGCAGAATCTACTTATGTTGGCACATATACATCAGAATCTTAAGCACAGGCCGCAGTCTCAGATGAGCTTTGTAAAATGCAGGGTCAGCACAGAGAGAGTGAAGCGCACCTCCCGAGTCCTTCCGCTCAGTGATGCGCTCTCTGTGCTTGCGACGCACTTTGGAGAAGCGGATGCAAAGCTGCAGGAGGCAGCCTACTTTGCACCTTCGAAGCCTTTGCGCTTTCTTCTGTTGAAACTGCTACTGTACTCTTTGCACTTATATATCGTATTGCTTTTTTGGCTGAATGGTCCTGTGAGTGCGGAACGTTGAGTAGCTTTTTAAGAGGCCTTGGCACATTGTGGAGTTCTTGCCGTCAGACTTTGCTCTCAGGCCGGGAATGTCAGACAGATGGTTGAACATGTTACGACTCAGACCAGGAGCAAAGACGCTACTAGGGGCTCCTGACATCGCTACTAGGAGCAGAGACGCTATTAGTAACAAGTGCATCGCTTCTAGTAACAAGTGCCTTACTAGTAGTAAC